AACTAATTTTATATGTCTTTTAGGGAGACTTGTGATCAGTTTTCGGACTCTAATAGGACAGTTTTGATTCCATATAGAATTCATTTCACTAAGAAATCTTAGTATAATGAATCCTACTAATAATAAAAAAAATAGTGAAAATATCGAGAAAATATTTTAGCCTCACAAGAGATATTAGCATTATATCATATTTGTATATAAAATAATAAATAATCGAGTAATTTGATTAATTGAACGCCTACTGCTTGTTAATTGCCTTTTTTAGCGCTAGATTGACACCTTGATTTACCAAACGACGCGCATAGCTGATGTACAACTCAGTTTGAGTATTGTCTGAAGCGACTTTTTTTGATTTAGTCACTTTGACTTCCGGTGATTGTATTTCCTTTGTTTCGTGGGAATTTAATTTTTTTTTACTCCCTTTTATTTTTGAACGTGCGAATTCGCGACCCTTCTTCTCTAATTGTTTTCTAAATCCTCCTTTTACACCACCCCTACATCTAACTATCGCATAAATTTCCGAGTCGAGCAACGAACTACCAAGCGTATAAAAAGGACCGTGACCTGGGCTACGCCCTAGAAGATTGAGGCTTTGAGGCGAAACGCCTAAAAGAGTTGCAATTTTTTCCTGAGCTTCACTAGACTGGTAAGAGTCTACTTTCAGGGAAACTTTTTGTTCCACTGGCAAAATTGTGCAGGTAATTTCCATCACTTGAAATCTAACAACTATGTATAGTTTTATTAATTCACCATAATTATAATGTGAATTAAGATATCTAAAGGTATATAAAAACGATTAGGATATAGTACGTGATATATATATTTTAATAATAATAAAATAATAATGTACAACATCACCCAGTGCTTCTTATATGATGTACTTAGTGTAAAAATTAAATAGGTTATTAATTTAATAATATTATTATCATTATTATTATTATTTAATTTAAAAAAATCTGTTAACCTTTACTTTTATTATTTCGTTGAAACAAAGTTTAAAAGATTATATCAATTGTGTTACATATTAAATATGTGTATAACAATCAAAAATTACGATAAATATAGTTTACTAGAACAAATATATAAATTAAATTACTGTTCAGGTAATAGTGCTTTGTTTCTAAAAAAAAAAAGTTCGTTTACATCAAAAATATTGTCCTGAATCTAATTTAAAAAAATTATAATAAATTATTGAAGAATATTTTTTTTAATTTGAAGCAAGTCCATTCTTAATGTTCTTAAGATTCTTTTTTCCTAAGAATAAGGAAAGACTTATGATACTTTAAAAACAACACATGAATTTTTTTAATGTCACATAAATTTATGGAATGTTTTCAGAGTGTGAATATTATTTTCGGCATTTTTTTAAAAATCGTAGTTCTTAGTTTCTCTATAATCGCACGTCACTCACCCAATATGAAAACCGCAATATAGAACGATTCTTATCAGAACTCTAAGCGATACCTAAAACTATTATCCCCAATGTGGTTGCCACCCTAAAACTTAAGTTATGTAAGAAAAGGGCTGCAAGTGTCAGATTTCTTCCTTTTTTCATAATACACCGCACTTAATGTACTACAATCATTGTTTAGTTTGTTTGTAGATAATGAACGTTGTCCTGAAAAAATAATAATAGCAGTAATAAATAGAAAAATATCTATAAATTATGCCGTAGCTGACAAAAAAAAGGGTGTAGTTTACTGAAAGTTGAAAACAGGGGTCGGCAAAAGGAAAAAGCTTAAATAAATAACTGCGGCGGATTTGCATGCCAAACGCTTGGCTAGGAGCTTCATAAAATCACCATTTTGATAATTTTATTTTAAAACTTGTACATATTGAAAGGGAAAAAAAAACTAAAAATAAAATTTCATATTTAATTAAAAATTATAACTGAATTATTTAGTAAGTAATTTTTATTAATAGAGTGCCACTATGTCTGCATCCGCTCTAGCAGCAGCCTCGGCTAGCTAGCGGATTCTTCAAAAGTCTAATTTTGTAGCGCCGCCGTTAAGTGCATGACTAGGGAGCGTTCGGGGCGGTGTTTATATTTTACTGGAAGTTTTTGCGTTTAGTCCCTCTTGATTAACATTACTTCTTTCTGACTAATGTCGTGTTTTGCGTCATAGATTTGATTTAAGCTGGATAAAGTAGTTACTTCATGTGATTATAATTTTTATGTTTTTATCCAGCCAGTTATGGGTGTAGAAAAGGTTAAATGAAATATAGGTACAGAACAATACAACTCATAACCATATGTCTCTGAGAACTCCAGAGATGCGTACTTGTATATGTAACTAATATTTTCAATTTTTTAGTAGTGCGTTCCATAAATTAGGGTAACCGAATGTTTTAAGAACGTGAAATTTGCAAATGATCTCATTGCTATAGATGTTTGGTGTGAATAAGATGCGATGAATTTTATTCAGTTATATTTATATATGTATATATAATCTATTGCTTATTGGTTCATTGTCTTTTGTTTCATTAACGAAACACTCAAAAAAGGAACAAGTCTACTGTTACTTTTGATATCAATTACTATAATTATAGCCTACTCGCGTTTTTTAAGGTGTTTTTAAATGACTTTTTAAAACTTTATATGAATTATTTTTTTCTCACTGGATCTAAATTTAGCCGATTTACGATTTTTATTTTGCAATCTTGTTCAATCAGAAAGACACTATCCAAATGGCGCCAAAGTCCTTTCTCATTAAGTTATCTGGAAACGTTACAATACGTAACCATGAAAAGGTAAGTCTTGAGACTAATACTCAGATAAGCAAGGGCAAACTCAAAGAAAGCCTTTACGAAATTGGTTTGCGCATAGGAATAAAAATTCCGCTTGATCAAGAAGAAGCCGCGTATCTTGTTGATGAGCAGGGTTTGATCATTACTTCAAAACTTATGGATGGAGGTGTATATTATATTTCTGGTGAAAATTTCTCTGAATCTGAATCATGCGAATTACACAAAGATGCGTGTAATATTGGTTTATCGCCTGACATTCCTGTTGCATGGGCGTTTGATAAACGAGTTTTACTTCATCAGCCAAACGATCACCGCTCTCAGGAAACTCCTCATCGTCTGAAGCGTGCTTTGGATATGTTAATTCATGTCGAGTACTCGAATGAAATCCTTCCCAAAGAACTGTTAGCATCCTTTGGAAATGGTTATACTAAGAATTTTACTACTAATATTTCTAAATTTATTGCCTCACGTCTGGCGTCAGATGAAGAAATCTTGGACTTCCACGTTTCTTCTGTATATTCAGATTTTCTAAAAACAGGCAAGCCTCTAAGGAACTTGCCAGGAGACGTGTATTGCAATGATCAAACCAGTAGAATTGCTGTAAAGCTTTCATCTGCGGCAGTGATTGATACATGCACTTTGATACTCCAAAACTCAGAAAAATGCGCGGGTGGTAATTATTGTCCTAAAAGTGATCCACTTATCGGTTTTTGTTTAATACGACCCCCTGGACATCATTGTATGGCAAATAGACCATCTGGTTTTTGTCTTGTCAATAATGTGGCAATAGCAGCGCAACAGATTCTTACAAAAAAATTAATATTAGGGCAAACACCAAGGATTGCAATTCTTGACTTGGATGTTCATTATGGAGAAGGAACAGCATCTTTTGTTGATAATTATAGTTTTGATAACGACAAATCTTTTCCGTTATTGTATCTTTCTCTCCACCGTTTTGATCAAGGTCATTTTTACCCTCATGAAAGAGAGGGTGGGAATGATTTTATCGGGATCAACCACATTGGCAGTATATTAAACGTTGCTGTTGACACTAATGCTCATGAAGCTGAGAACTGTTATAAAGTTATTTCGGATTTTTTAATCGAGAAGACAATGAAAGACATTTTTATACCTAAATTAACTGAATTCAATCCTGATTTAGTAATTGTGTCGTTAGGATTTGATGCAGCTTACGGGGATCCCTTGGGTAAAATGGCGGTAGAAGGTGGTTTTTCGCTAGCCATGAGCATGTTGAAGTACTGGTGTATTTATGAACAAGTGGACTCGTTCCCGTTTATCTCATCAACTTTGAATTTTCCAACTCGAAGGCACAAACCTGTCGGTCTTGTAGCTGTTCTAGAGGGAGGTTACAATCCAGAAAAGGTTTCACATGGTATTGTAGCTGTTGCCTACGCTTTGACATATCCTCCATGGGATAAGAGAGTACAACAGTATTCCCAATTACATATCCCAAAAACATGGAGTGATTTACGTAAAAAGCAAGAACGGCGGTTACATGAATTAGATCAAATTAATAAAGAACGCGAAGATATGGAAAATGATATCCAGCTGCATGAAAAGCCTATTGAATTACCTATGATGGTCATCGATGATGATACCCTCATGGAAAAGCATCTCGTATGGTGTGAGTATGTAATTAATAACACAATCCAATGCCATCAAGCTGCTCTTTCTCAACAGAAGAGAGCTATTTACATTTAGCTATGACTATGGAAATTATTTTATCCTTCCTAGCTTGAGCATTTCATAATGTATATGATTAATTTGGGATAATGCATCCTACGTTTTGGACGCCTGATTATGCTTACCAAAGCTGTTTGCTTTCTTATCACTGTACCACAGTTTCCTACGCTTGGTTCAAGTGACTATCATCTTAATGTATCTTAACTAAGGAAGAGGTATAAAACCTCAAGCTTATATTCTATTTCCTCTCTTTTTCCTTAGGGGTAAAGCTTCTTCCGAGGAACCTGGAAATAATCTTTTCGTTGAAACAACTTTTTCGATATCTTTTAACATCCAGTGTAGTTGTATGGATTTGAACTTAATATATCCAGTACTGAAATACTTTGACTTGTTGACAACATTATGGTATCCTTGACCTTAAAAAATAATATCTATATAAGAAAAAGACCACATAGATCTTCCCACACTTTGTAATAAATCTGACAAATTATACTTATTTTACTGTTTTGTACTAGTTTTTATTTTACGTTTTAGTTTTATGTGGAATTATGTTATCATAAAAGACAAGTTCCCTTTATTAATCATTTTTTCATTGCAAAAAGTCAGTAATAGCACTTTTTTCTCGAAACTGTTTAGTTATGTACTCACAAAATACTATTCTTGTTGCAGTCAGTTGTCGGCATTTTGGGTCATAGTATTAATAACTGAAATTTTCTAAAAATATATACATTGGTTGATTCATATATATATTAGCGCTTCAACTTTGATTGAAAATCTTTAAATTTTTATTGTGTTTTGACAGTTGACTTAACCAGTAAAGTCTTCGTATCATTGAGCAATCTTCATTGTATTCATTTGGACTTGCATACCAGATTCACAGATATAGTGATTGCCAAAAGATATTTATTAATGAAGAACGATGTATAAGCCTATAGCGACAAGGAACTTTTCCCTATATGCGTCTTTACAACATTTATTTCAGAAAGCTTATTTGGGGAAAATGCAAAGCAGGACTACCATTATCTTACATGCAAATATACATAAATGACTTTTATTGTATAATATATTTCTAATGCATTCATTGTTAATGTACAGAATTATATATATATATATATATATATATACGTTGAATATCGGAATAGTGATAAGCTCCAGCAACATGATATAGAAAATAGAAACGCACAAAATTCTATAATTTCCATTGTCCTAAACAAATTTATATTCATTTTTATCTTTTCTTCAGAGTTTAATAATTTCTCGACACAATAGATGAGTCATATACCTGTATATTTATTTACTTTCAAAGCTGTTCCATTTCATCAAATTTAAAACAAATGTAACCTTATTTAATTTGTCTCTATTTTCCATACAACAGAATTTACAAAGGGGTTATCTCAATTAAGGTGTACAAAGAACAATAGTTTGAGTGAAAGATAGGCATAAAGGCGATAATAGTGATATAATTTTCCTTATCTAAAAGTAAAAATATTTACCTCCCTAAAATAAGTAAGATACTTTTGATATGAATGAATCTGAACAAGTTTCAGAAATACGGCGTCTGCTTGATTTTCAAACTAAAAGGGCCGATCCTTTTCAAATTTTGAAGCTTAATATTGAGACCTGCGAAGTTTCTGATGTAAATAAAGCCTATCGTTTCATCGCTTTACAACTTCATCCAGACAAATGCAAGGTCCCGTATGCTTCTGAGGCCTTTCATATCGCAGAAAAGGCACACAAGTTATTGAGCCAGGAAGTTGCTTTGAACCATCTTAAGCGGGCTCACATGAGACGAAAGGAGCAGCACTCCGAAACGACCTCGTTTTCTATTCCAACTTTTGCTACTGAGCAAAAACAAAGCCCTGCTCCGTCGTCGTCAGCATATAAATTTCAATTTGGCAAGCTTTCAAAGCTTGCCATTTCGGAGCTTTCCACGGATGAACAAAAAACAGCTGAGATTGATCGTTTACTGCGATGCAAACTGAACGATTACTTTATAATATTAGATTTGGATCCAGAGAAATGTGAAGTCAGTGATGTGGATAAACGCTATCGACGCATGGCGCAAGCGCTACACCCTGACAAGTGTCAACTACCACGTGTTTCGGATGCATTTAACATATTTCAGAAAGCACACAAGGAGCTAAGCGATGATAAAAAGCTTAGGCGGTTTAAGATGTCCTTCTTGCAGCAGCAAAAACGTGAAGCACTTCAACAGGAGGAGATGCTTCAGCGATCTGGTTGTCATAGCCGAGAACAGCAGCAGCACTCGGGCTCTTCAAGTGGGCTAACCGCTGAGGAACGGCTTGAGCTGCGTAAGCAGGAGGCTCTGAGAGAGCAGCAAATGGAAGCAATGCGACTTGGTGATGAGGCCGCCCGCAAAAGGAAGCGAATGGAAGAAAAGGAAACTGAAATGCGAGAGCTTGCCGTAGAGCTAGAGCGGCAGCGGAAGGAGTGGCGTGATTTAAAGATTATTTAGGTCATTTTAACTTTATAGCGAGGATACTTGTTTAGATACCTTTGTATTCTGAAGATCTCACCAATATGTTGCAATAATATTTCCTATTCTTAATTATGCCTTTTCCTTTGTTTTCTCTTATATTCAAGAGCGTGTAAAAAGAAAAAGAATACTTAGCATTATCATCATCGCTTTTTACCTACCATCAGCTCATCTTATTTTTCATTTTCTAAATTGAGAGTTGAAGGAGATAAATAAAGCGACACATAGGAAATAGATAGTTATAGTTATACTTTTTTATATTATTATTGCCAGCTTCTTTTTTTATATATACTCTTTATGAGCTTGGTGTGACAAAAGGAACACGAAATTTTATAGTCACACGATACTGTAAACCACAGGTTTTATTAGTAACTATTAATATATTTTTATTTAGCTTTCGAAAAGGTGCTTTCGTTTTTATAGTTTCACGCGTCTTCTTTTAGTGATTTAAAGTACAGGAGCCGTGTTTTTAGGGTGCCATTTGATACGAAATCGAAATTTAAGGAAACCCGATAGTCATTTGCTATGATATTTCCTATGATTTTCAACTTCAGTCAATTTTAAATGTGTAGTGACCTCATAAAAAATGGGATTGAACATGCGTATTAGTTTATTCATGCGACGCTTCTGTTGCAATCAAGTAGCTTTCTTGACTTCACTTTCCCGCACTTCGACTGAGGCTCCTACTTGTCGTATACTTTCCACTAAGGCTAAACCTTCTATCGATGTCATTTCAAATTTACCAGATACTTCTACTGAAAGCAGCCAAACTATCTCTATTGACAGAAGCAATAACAGTGACCGAAGCTTGAATCGTAAACCAAAAGGGAATGAAACAATGCGAATAGATCACATGACTGACAAAAGTAGTGTGTCCAGACTGCAGGAAGACTCATTTTCCGATTGCTTCGGAAAAAATAATCCTGAAGTGAATATGGAAAAAATGACCCAAATGGCCGCTGAGCAGCTACGATGTGCTCTTCAATCATGGTCAGTGGAAGAAAAAGCCAAAGCTGCTGCCACAATTAGTGGAAGTAAGGAATTTTCATCACCGCAGAGCCTGAAGCTTTCAGAGCATACTACTGATATGCACCGTATTCTTTCCACCAGCTCACAACTTCCTTCTGAAGGACTGTTTCAAGGGAAAGTAAATACATTTACTGACGTGACTGTAAAAAACTTTACACCGGACGAAACTCAGGTCCTAGAAACTATGCCAGATCAGAAGCCACAAACGTCTTCAATGTCTTCGAACGCTTGGATTCGCAATAAGAGGTCAAAGTTTTGGGATATTGTTTTCTCCGTATCCTCACCTTCGGTAGCTTCGAATTCTGTGGGTACAAATGCACCTTTTTCTGCCTCGACAGTAACAAAGGCATTATCGCAAACGAATAGGCTTTTATCAGAAAAGGATCCTGTCAACACAAGTGACTTGTATCAAGATGAGCGAGGTGTCTTGTATCCGCCTATCCTGCCTCAGGAAAACCTTAGTGAGGTAGGGGGGGATTTGAATCAAGTGAATTTAAGTAATGCGGCAACCTATCGTGTCACCTCCGCTTCAAAAACATCAGAAAGTGATTTACGGTCTTCTGATACAGTCTCTAAGGGTCCGTCAGAAGGGGCACATAGTGGTCATTCTACTAGGCCAAAATACTCATACATTCGAAACCAACACAAGAAAAACGTAGCACTTCGTTTAGCCGAGTTGCTTAATTGTGACCCTCGTTTGGGTTATACCATCCTTGAGAGGTTGTCAGATGACAGTTTGCGCCTGCTTCTTGTCATGGGTACCGCAAATGAGTACTACGGCAAAGATAGCTACGACATTGTCAAGCAGGTGAAGGCAGCCGATAAAGACTGTGATAGCGCCATTTCCGCTAAAGAGTACGAAGAGTGGGCTATGAAATCATGGAAGTATCGACAGCATCATTCAACTGTCGACACGGTGACAGAGGACGCTCTCACGGCAGGTGATCAGAAGGATCGTGAAATACGATCCCAATCTAGTATTTCTACTAATAGTAATGAAATTATCCTCGATAGCATCCAAAAAAATCCGCCACGAAGTGACCCTGGTTATATCCCCTGGCCGATTTACTTGCGTCTATTGTTTAATTTTTCTTTGCCTTTTATGGCTTTTGGTATATTAGACAATGCAACTTTAATTATCGCAAGTGATGCGGTCGAACATTCTTTATTGGAAACGCTGAGTTTGACCGGTTTGGCGGCAGCAGGGGTGGGGGGAATCATTAGCGGTGTTGCGGGCATTCAAGTTCACAGTTTGGCAGGGCGTTGGACTCGGATCACGCCACCAATACTTACTAAAGCGCAATCTATTAGCCGCAGTTATGAGCGCTCAGCAAGTATTGGAAACACATTTGGGATAATCACAGGTCTGGTGATCGGTATGATTCCGCTATTATTTATTCGTGGCGACAGGGATAACGAAGCCGAAGATAACAACCGGTTGAGAAGGGAAGAAGAGCGGATTCAAGAGATAGAACGGGAGTTACACCAAGAAGAGTGTACTTGATCTACGCTATTGAAGAATGCTTGAAGATAGGACGAGGATACGCAGCCTAAGCCATTTTTGATAAAAGAGGAATGATCTGTAGAGAATTAATCACAAGGAACTTATTCCTTATTTTCATTAGATGCATAGCTTTCCTTTTTTAGTAATTATGCATTATGTTTCAACATATTTCCCTTTTTTTTTTGCATTTCCTTAACTGCAAAGATGTTTATTAACTTTCCACGGAATCAAGTTATTCCTTTTCAGATGTCATAGTGTTATTCAGTTCTTAGTTGAAAGGGAGGGACACTTTTTAAGTATCAGGGATTTATTTACAATAATGTGCATTCTTTTGAAGAACAATGAATATCAATGATATTTAATATGATAACAATAAACATATCAATACTTTTTAAGGATCTAAAAGCTGCGGACTCGTATCATTGATGGGTACTTAAATATATCCATTTCTTTATTCCAACCCTGTTATCCTATATTAAAAATGTATTACTTGTGATTTATTTCAAATCAATAAATTTATATGTGTTGTAAGGTTATCTGAATCAACCATTTTGTAAAATTATCTTTCACACCCAAGTTATTTTTTATATACTAAAGAAAAAGGGAAACCATGGAAAGCGCGTATCTCAAGTGTCATGTTGGTCCTATCCTTGCTAAGGCCATTGCCGATACTGTAGTGGCGCAGCCCAGCAATCCACAGGAGTATCTTGCACTTTACCTCCTCCATTACTTGAATGTAGAGGAGCATCGTACCGCTGGGGATCTCCGTTTGCGAAAGGCGGTTGAGGTTCGAGAGGTATGCTCACAGCGTCATGCCCAGAAGGAGAAAGCTGCGGCGGAGACGATTCGACGAGGTATTATGCACTTCAGGGAACGCCTACAGAAGAAGAAGGAGCAAGAAGCACATCTAATGGAAATATACGAAGAGGCTTGCCTTGAGGCCGAAGAGCTTCTAGAACAAGAGGATGCCCAACGTAAGCAGCCCGAAGGCGGCGAACCCAATGGAGGGGCGACAATCGATGCCTCTTCAGAAGACAACCCCGAAGAGCGTACCATGCGATTGCAGCTTGAGCGGCAAAAAGAACGGCTGGATGAGTCCCGAAACAACTTTTACGTTGCTCAACGTTTCATACACTATCTTCAGAAGACTCACCTAGGTCAGCTCAAGACTACGCTGTTGGATTCAGCGGAACGTGTGCGTGTGGCGCAAATGGAGCTGGAGTCACTTAAGGACCTTGAACAGCAAACTGAGGAAGAGGTGTTCAGTGATGCGAAACCACTTTCTTCAGGTCAGGACAACATTGGAAATGGCAGAATGTCCGCGATAGCCACAGAGCTAATCGCGCGTCTTCGTGTGCAGCGCTCACACAAACGAATTGCGGTCAGCCATGTGCTTTACCGCGTCTTACGCTGTATTTGCTATCTTTTGTTCAATTCTACTCCAAAGGCTACCGATACACCGATCAAGGTTGCCACTTTGATAAAGCCTGCGGTTGTGGTACAGCTTCTGCGCGCTTTTAACCCCGTTGCGACTTACGACAAAAATCAGCCGCTAAAACTTGAGAAGATCCTATCACATCCCAGAAATGAAGAAGAAGGGGAAGCTGAGGAAGCCGAGGAAGTTGTCGAGGCCTTTCCTATTCCACAGCAAAAAACACGGCAACTTCGTCGTGTGCAGCGAGTCATGCGCAGCTGTTTATGTGATGCGGAATACATTTGCAATGCGAACTTGTCTGATTACTTCGATGATGATACTCTCGAAGAGGAGGAGCTTCTGGAAAATGAAGTTGCCAAAACCGAGGCCGCAAAGACGCGGCGACAGGAAATCGAAGAGACGGTAGAGACTCAAACTAAGGAGCGCGGCGGCATCACGCTTTATGGACTTCTTCGATTTCTGCGAGCAGCCGCGGACTACCGCATTGCGCGAGATGCCTGGGTCTCGACGTTGCACGAGTTATCGCTTCCGATTCCAGAAACGGAGGAGATGCCCGAGGAAGACGACCCGGACGACAGTGACGCCGTACGACAGGACGATGAGGAGCCTTTGAATGAGGACGGCGAGGTCGATTATGACGAAATCAACCGTGTACAGGCAAAGATCGGCGTCGACGAGGATGAGGCCTTGGTGAAGATATGGGAAATCAGGGATCGCCGCCAACAGGGGGTGTTTCAAGATCTCAAGCAGGTTATCGCTAAGGCGGGCAATGAGGAGGAGGAGGAAGGAGAGAATGATGAAATTAAGTAGATGAATTTTCAGATTAGCCAAGTGGAGGGTGTAAATTGTATAAGGGGAAAGTCAAGCAATGCGGCTACGTTTTCTTCCCATCATTTCCTTCTACCAACTAGCGTAGATATGCTTTACGTGATAGAGATTCGGCAAGAATAGGTGGCAGTCCTATATTTATTTGTTTATTCATACGGAAAGTAAGAAACATTTAGTGTTGTATAGATGTACAATTTATCAGATTTATCCAGGTTAGGAAGCTTATGTAACATTTTTCAAGAATAAAATGGTCACCATTAGTCTTATCTTTATGCATGCTAATAGTCATAATATGCCTAAATCTTATTTTTACATTCTCTCATATTCAAATACAAAAAAATTTCAATCTCTTTCTCAATATATTTTTGCTTTACAGCACTGGCCGAAACCTTTTTGTTTATTGAAAAAAGAGGGCCACGGAAGGAAGGAAATAATGTTTCGGTTTACTTTACAAAGCCGACTTTTACATGTAGGTGGCAGTTCCGCCGGTTGGGCTCCACGCAGTGTGAAACATGCTCAGCGGCACTCAAAACAGGCTCTGCAGCTCAGTCGCCAACGCTTTCACCTTCAAAAGGAAAACGCGCGTATTCGCCAATCGGTTAACTACGACTATGTTGAACAGAGGAGAATGCAGGGCAAAAGCCGGGAGGCCCTCTCTACCGCTGCCCATGGACTTATTCATAGTGTTAGTAAAGGCAGAAATCACGATGCGAGTCAGCACTTCTATAGTCCGCAGGATCGGGCTGATGATATGGCGACGGCACGGCACCTTTTACTACTTGGAGAAGCAAAGCGCAGGGAGATGAAGCGTGGTCGGACACAAAGATTGGAGACGTTTCGAAGTTTGAAACACCGTTGATTCTGACCCTTTTTAAAATTTATCAATTGCTTACTTTGGTTACTTACCTTTTAGATTTTGCATGCAAAGTGCGCTTATGCCTGTACTAAATTTAAAAAGGATGCTTCTTCGTATTTTTATCCAATCGTTATTGTTGATGATATTTCTCTTTTGCCTTTTCAGATTCCAGGTTACGCCTACAGGTACTTTGATTATCGTTGAGACTTTTTCGGAAACTGAAAAATATTCTTTAATCTAGGGGAAAATATTCCCTCACTAATTAAAGGAAAGGTTACATAGCATGCCTCAGCGGGGCTTATCATTACGATGCATTAGCAGTCATTCTTTTATTAGGACTCATACAGTCCAAAGGCGTTATCTATCCATTAGCAGGTGCCTTCATACTGAAGGGAAAACTTCTCATGACGCTTCTGAAGACTATCAGCGGATGCGGAACGCGAATTTCAATCAGAGGCAGTATCAAACCCTGGGGAGCATTCTTGATCGATTGCCTCGGGGAATTCGAGAGCTGCTGCTTTGGTCGCCGTTCTTGTGGACACTTTTTTTTGTTTTCAAGCAGCAGCGACCGTATTACTTTGGGACGGAGGAGTCTTTTAGTGGTCTATCTAAGGTGTGGAGGAAGAATGAGACATCTTTCACCACCTTCCTTACCCTTACACCAAGTGCGCCAACATCGAATATTACAACCTCCACATCTACACGGGATCTTCATGAGGGATATCCGGTGGTGGTGGAAAAGTTCCTTGTACATTCCCTTGTTGACAACTTAAAGGAGAAGGCGCCTAATAAGGAGGGTTCTCCGCCCATAGCACCCTTTTCCACTGTTATGCGGGTAGCTCAAGAGGATTGTATGCAGGGCAGTAATAATGACGAATTTAGTTCAAAATGTGCTTCTGTACAGGGGATACTGCTTTCGAAAGAAGACAAGCCTGGGGGAGTTTTTTCGCGCAGGAAATGTGGGGAGGATCTGAAGGAGAAAAATGGTGAATTTTCAGTGGAAGATAACGTTTGGGGAAGAACATTATATGTGCTGCGAGATTCACTAACCGGTTGCGTACTGGGGTACACACTACATCCATGAGATTTTAATATTCGCTTTCCCTACATGTCTGTTATGCGGTGCTAAGCGGTAAAAAAGTCGAAATATTACTGAAATACAAAAGAAGACCTGTTGAAATTTTGTTAGGGAATACTCTTCATGTATTATCTCATTTTTTTTGTTCCTATTAATGATAACTTGTGAACTGGTGCTTTATGCATTCAGGAAGCAATACTAGTCTTAACAGATCCAACTTATTAACTGAGGATTTGTGTATTGCTCTGCATACGTAGTCCTTTAAGGGAAGAAGACCACTAAATTAGTATAAAGATTTAAGGAGCATGGACGCGGTAGACGAACTAAATTTTCTACTTGGAATTGGACCACCGCGTCCAAATCTTCCTTTAACTATTAGAAAATCCTCCTACACGTCTGTTCGAGACCTTGGCAAGGGTACGTATGGACAGGCTATTTTAGTATTCCACAAGATTCGTGAGCAGTACTATGTCATTAAGCATATCAACATGTCGAGGATGAATTCAAAACAACGTAAAGATGCCCACAAGGAAATAGAAATTCTTCAGCAGCTCGACCACCCGAACATCGTGCGTTACGTCGAGTACTTTGAAGAATTTCCTCACCTGTACATCGTGATGGAGTACGCTGACGGTGGCGACCTCGGAACGCATTTATCTCGCATCAAAAAAACCGCCAAGCACCATTTAAATTCGCAATCCGATACCGACCCCAACGCGCTGCATATGAGTAATGGGCTGTTAACCGAGCCGCAGGTCATGAGCCTTTTTGTGCAGGCCACCATAGCCCTCAAACATATGCACGACCGTCGTTTGCTGCACCGTGATATCAAGTCACAGAACATATTTTTAACCCGCAACCATGTCGTGAAGCTGGGTGATTTTGGCATTTCCACCGTGCTGAAGGATACCGTAGCGATGGCGAGCACGATGTGCGGGACACCCTGCTACTTTTCGCCTGAGATTTGCCATGGCAAGTCGTACAACAATAAAAGCGACGTGTGGGCCCTCGGTGTGCTGTTGTACGAGATGTGTGCGAACCGGCTGCCCTTTGAATCTTCTACTATGAAGGCTCTTATGACTGAAATTTTGAGCAAGGAACCCCGACGGATTCCCGAGTACTTCTCGGAGGAGTTGTGGGAGCTGATTCAATGGATGCTGTATAAGGATCCGAAGAAGCGTCCGGATGCGCAGCAAGTGCTTAGGTCATCCATAGTGATGCGGCACATGCCAAATATTATTGAAAAACTGAAGTCTGTGGAGAATGCTGAGAATTATTATGAACCCGTGACTAAATCAAAAGTAAACCAGAAACCATCGCAAGGAAATAGAGTAGTCGATAATAACGCACGACTTCCCATTCATGGCGATACTCCGATTGATCTCGGGGTTGATAAAGTTAGTGGGATCGCCCCTGTGAATAAAAAAGATGAGGTCTTGGATTTAAACAATCAACATCAACATAAACCACCCAATCCACAGTCGGTAGGAATGAAAAAAGAAACAAAGATAATGGATGAAAATGACAGGGCCCACAATGCCAAAAAGGAACAAAATATGCTCAATCATCAAGAATTGAACAATTTACACAATACTCCATTTTGCCTTCAGCAACAACAGGAGAATAATAGGAATAAAGCTGAGAAGGGTAAGGGAAAGCCTTACCGTCTTGTTTCTCAGGAGTTTTCTGAACCGACGCCACATCTTTTTAAGCAAGGTAGGGAATTAGAAGGAAAAGGTGGTGACATCCTTGGGGATCCCAGTGCCCTCACACCTGGGCAACGCGCCGCTCAAGAAGTCCAGTTGCTGCAGCAACAAAGGCAACATGAATTGAAAAAGGTAATATTGCAGGAGGGCAGTGCTGAAAAGGCAGATGAGCCGGTCGAATTTCCACGTGAAATATACCCCAAACAACATAAGATAGGGCTCGGTGATCGTCTTTCCATCAGTGCACTTATTGAGGCGTACGATATGGGGAAGAAAAATATATCCAGTATTCGACAGAAGGACCGCTTTTTGAATCCGAAGCAGCCCTTGGTAGCCCCTTTGAACCATCATATTGTTAGCAATGCGCATCAGCAGATAGTGCACGGTTACAAGGTTCCTGATGATGCCCTCGGTGCGAAGAGTCAGGTGAAGCAAGCCTCGTCTGCGGCACGACTGCCTCCTATGGGGGTACCCAGCAATCCGATTTTACCTGCCAAAGACTCCAACACCCGTCCATTACCACAAACCGACTGTGGAAAAGGAAAAAATCACCCCAGAGACTTTCCTGGTGAATCAGCTTCACACTACCTGACACCTCAATATACTGCATCTAAGGCTGGTCTTTTCTACAGGGCGCCTGTACTCCCCCCTTTACCAGCTCTTGGTGAAAGTACCGCAGAGGAGGTGAGGAATGGGCAAAATATAGTCCCAACGAAGGCTAAAACACCCTCGTTGCAAGAGAAAGAAAAAAACCCAAGAAGTGATCTAAATGACGTAGTTCTTGAAATGACAACATTGTTATCTTGCTTTACAATGAGTATACGGGATGTGGAAAGCGAGGATGGGGTAAATGAAGAAGAAGTGGCCACTGCTTTGAATCCGAAGAAGGCGACAGAAACTAAATCACCCACGATAAATAATGACCATAGCGCTATAGCTGACTCGAAACCTTGTGAAGACCCTTCTACTAGAGGTAAGGATTGTCCCCCGTCATTGCCGACTTCCATCTCTGAAAAGACATCAACTAAGGGACAGCGTGAAGTACAAGGGGCCAGCGAAGAGTTTATAGACCCGCTGGGAACGCGACTGGATATTGAAAAGCTCC